CAGGCCTACAGACTATACCCACCCATGAATTTCATGTGCGAGGCCTCTAGTGTTTTTATATGTCTCTTGGCCTTCTGTATGTCCTCTTTCGAAAAGTATCTATTTATGTCTGTTGGCCATTTTTTTGATTGGATTGTTTATCTTCCTTTTGTTAAGTTGTATGAGTTCCCTATAAATGTTGGAAATTAAACCCTTATCAGAAATATCATTGGCAAATATGTTCTCCCATGCAGTGGTCTTTCTAGTTGTTTTGTTGATAGTTTCTTTTGCTGTGCAGAAGCTTTTTATTTTGATGTAGTCCTATTTGTTTATTTTCTCTTTAGTTTCCATTGCCCTAGGACAGGGGTGGGCAAACTTTTTGACTCGAGGGCCATAATGGGTTCTTAAACTGGACCGGAGGGCTGGAACAAAAGCATGGATGGAGTGTTTGTGTGAACTAATATAAATTCAAAGTAAACATCATTACATAAAAGGGTACGGTCTTTTTTTTTTTTAGTTTTATTCATTTCAAACGGGCCGGATCGGGCCCGCGGGCCGTAGTTTGCCCACGGCTGCCCTCGGAGCTGTATCTGTGAAGATAGAGCTTCGGCATATGTCTGAGATTTTGCTGTCTGTGGATTCCTCTAAGATTTTTATGGTTTCCCATCTTATGTTTAAGTTCTTTATCCATTTTGAGTTTATTTTTGTGTATGGTGTAAGTTGGTGGTCAAGCATAATTTTTTTGCATGTATCTGTCCAATTTTCCCAACACCATTTATTGAAGAGACTGTCTTGACTCCATTGTATGTTCTTGCCTTCTTTGTCAAATATTAATTGAGCATTGTGGTTTGGGTCGATTTCTGGGTTTTCTATTCTATTCCATTGGTCTATATGTCTGTTCTTGTGCCAGTACCAAGCAGTTTTGAGAACAGTGGCTTTGTAATACAGCCTGATATCTGGTATTGAGATCCCACCTACTTTGTTCTTTCTCAGGATGGCTGCAGCTATTCGGGGTCTTTTTTTATTCCAGGTGAATTTTTGGAGAGTTTGTTCTAGGTCTGTGAAATATACCATTGGTGTTTTAATTAGGAGTGCATTGAATCTATAGATTGCTTTGGGTAGTATGGACATTTTAATGATGTTGATTCTACCAATCCATGAACATGGTATGTTCTTCCATCTATTTATGTCTTGCTCTATCTCTGTTTTCAGTGTCCTGTAGTTTTCTGAGTACAGGTCTTTTACCTCCTTAGTTAAGTTTATTACTAGGCATCTTAATTTTTTGTGTGCAAGGTAAATGGAATTGTTTTTTTTTTAATCTCTCTTTCTATAAGTTCACTATTTGGTGTATAAAAATGCCATAGATTTCTTGGCATTAATTTTGTATCTTGCTACATTGCTGAATTCATTTATTAAGTCTAGAAGTTTTTTGATGGAGTCTTTAGGGTTTTCTATGTACAGTAGCATGTCATCTGTGAATAATGATAGTTTTACCTCTTCTTTTCCAATTTGGATACCTTTTATTTCTTCTTCTTGTCTAATTGCTATGACTAGCACTTCCAGTGCTATGATTTACAGGAGTGGTGAAAGTGGGCATCCTTGTCTTGTTCCTGTTCTTAGGTGAAACGGTTTTAGTTTTTACCCATTGAGTATGATGTTGGCTGTGGGTTTGTCATATAAGACTTTTATTATGTTGAGGTATGATCTCTCTATTCCCACTTTGCTGAGGGTATTTTTCAGCAAATGCTTTTTCTGCATCAATTGATATGACTATGTGGTTTTTATCTCTCAATTTGTTTATATGATGTATCACATTTATTGATTTGCAGAAACTGTACTATACTTGCATCCCTGGGATAAATCTTACTTGGTCATGGTGTATGATCTTTCTGATGTACTGCTGGATCTGACTTGCTAGGATTTTGGCATCTATATTCATGAGGGATATTGGCCTGTAGTTCTCTTTCTTATGTTGTCTTTATCTAGTTTTGGTATTTGGGTGATGCTGGCTTCATAGAATGAGCTTGGAAGTATTTCTTCCTCTTGAATTTTTTGGAATAGTCTGAGGAGGATAGGTTTTAGTTCTTCTTTGACTGTCTGGTAAAACTGCCCTGTGAAGCTGTCTGGCCCTGGGCTTTTGTTTGCTGGAAGCTTTTTGATGACTGCTTCCATTTCCTTCATAGTTATCAGCCTATTGAGTTTTTAGATTCTTCCTTATTGAGTTTTGGAAGGTTGTATTTTTCTAGGAACAAGTCTATTTCCTCTAGGTTGTCTAGTTTTTTGGAATAGAATTGTTCATAGTTTTTCTTTTTTCTTTTTTTACAATCCTTTGTACTTCTGTGGGGTCTGTTGTTATTTCGCCTCTTTCATTTCTGATTTTGTTCATTTGGGTCCTCTGTCTTTACTTCTTGGTGAGGCTGACTAGAATAAACAAGAAAATCAATCTTGTTTATCCTTTCAAAGAACCAGCTCTTTGATTCATTGATCTTCTGTATTATTTTTTTGTCTCTATGTCACTTATTTCTGCTCTGATCTTTATTATCTCCTTCCTTCTGCTCACTCTGGGCTTTTCTTGTTGCTCTCTTTCTAATTCTTTAAGTTGTAGAGTAGATAATTTATTTCCATTTTTTCTTGTCTTTTGAGGTAGGCCTGAGGTATAAACTTCCCTCTCAGGACTGCTTTCACTGTGTCCCATAGATTTTTGAATTGTTTTGTTTTCATTGTCATTCGTTTCCAGGATGTTTTTAATTTCTTCTTTGATCTTTTTGGTAACCCAATCATTGTTTAATAGCATGCTATTCAGCTTCCAAGTGTTTGAACTTTTTTTCATTGTTTTTATTGTAGTTTATTTCTAATACTAGAGGCCCAGTACACAAAATTTGTGCATTCGGGGTCGGGGGTCCCTCAGCCCTGCCTGCGCCCTCTCACACTGTCCGGGAGCCCCACAAACGATCACCCCAAAAAGGTAGGCCCTGCCCACCCCGTCAAGGCTCCTCAATGGATCTCTCCACAGAGGGAGACCCTGCCCACCCACCACAGCCTGCCGGTTAGTGGCCTGCGCCTTCCTCTTTGGGGCGATCATGGAGCCCTCCAATTGATTGATTGATGGCCCTGCTGGCCAGTGTCTTGGGCCTCCCTCTGCAGGGAAATCATGGGGCAATGACCAGGCCCCCGACCAGTCACATCGCACTCGCCTTGGCTGGCCTGGTGCTAGTGGGTGTCATAGAGTGGTCATCCAGGTGGTCGTCTGCTCTTTGGCCATTCAGTCAGATACATATTATGCTTTTATTGTTATAGATTATGCCATTGTGGTCTGAGAAGATGCTTGATATGATTTCAATCTTCTTGAATTTGGAGAGACTTTGCCTGTATCCCAATATGTGGTCAACCTTTGAAAATGTCCCATGTGCACTTGAGAAGACTGTATATTCCATGGCTTGGGATAAAATGTTCTAAAGATGTCAATTAAGTTCATCTGATCTTGTGACTCATTTAGGATTGCTGTTTCTTTACTGATTTTTTGTCTAGAGGATTTATACAGTGATGTCAATGGGGTATTAACATCCCTACTATGAGTGTGTTGTTGTCAATCTCTCCCTGGATATCTTCCAGGAGGTTTTTTATGTATTTGGGTGCTCCTGCATTGGGTGCAAATATGTTTACCAGGGTTATGTCCTCTTGTTGTTTAGATCCCTTTAGTATTATGAAGTGGCCTTCCTTATCTCTTGTTATGGCCTTCACTTTGAGGTTTATTTTGTCTGATATAAGTATTGCTACCCCAGCTTTTTTTTCATTTCCATTTTCCTGAAAGATATTTTTCTATCTCTTCACTTTCATTCTGTGTGAGTCCCTTTTTCTGAGGTGGGTCTCTTATAGGCATCATATATATGGGTCATATTTTTTTATCCATTCAGCCACTTTTGATTGGAGCATTTAGTTGGTTTATGTTTAAAGTTATTATTGATAGGTACTTGTTTGTAGCCATTTTTATTTTTTATGCCTGTGTTCCTTCTTCCCTTTTGATTTCTTATTTTTATACCAGTCCCTTTAGCATTTCTTGCATTGCTGGTTTGGTAGTGATAAACTCCCTTTGCGTTTTTTTTGTTGTTGTTGTTGTTGTTTTTTTGTTTTGTTTTTTGCCTGTGAAGCTGCTTATTTCACTTTTCTGAAGCTGCCGTTTGCCTTTGAACCCAGTGTGTATTGCCCAGCGCCCAGGAATTTAGAAAATAAAAACACAAAAATCGTGCCCACTAAGTTTTTCTGACATTTGCTTTTTGTTCTTACCTTGGAAATTCAACTGATATCTCTATGAAAGTATTTTCAAGGAGAAAATTACAAACCAAGGGATTTACATGAAAAAGTAGCAAATATTTTTAAAATGTAATTTTGCTAAAATGTGTTGAGGCTTTTCTTCTCTGTCCCTTGCATTGTTAGACATCGTTGTATCCTTAGACGTTTCAAATTAGTAACTTTCTTGACCCTGACTTTGTGGATTCTTCCTGTTACCCTGTCACCTCGCTGCACAATGTTCCTATTTAAACAAAGCTGTAAATGAACTCCTCATATGACCGAGAAATGCGGTCCCAGCTCTTTGAAAATTTAATCAATGTGGAACACAATCCCATTCTGTGTGGCTGCAGACTTGGAGTGACACTGATTTCCCCCCAGAAAACGATGCGGTCAGTCTGTAGTCTTGTGCCTGTGAAAGTTAGCGTGGTTGCAGCACGTGTTCAGAATGTGTTTCTGCTTTACAAAGAAAAGACCCAAATTACCAGCCTTTTTCACTCCTGATGAAGTGTGTCTAGAGGCAGCTGGGGAGACGTGCAAGGTCTGAACAAAGACTGTCTACCGTCCAGGGTTCTAGGCATCATGGGGAGGATGGAGGTATACATAAAAAAAGAAGAATCATAAGTGAGGTCCGGGCGCAGGGAGGCCTCGTCGGATTTCCTGCCAACAGCCTCTTGAGAAAGAATCAGGCAGCGAGCCCTGAGTGGAGAACTCATTTAAATTCCCTTCCTTTCGCTTTTCCAGTTGCCGCCGCACTTGCAGCTGGCCATCCTCCAGAGCCCAGCGCATCCAGGAGGCAGGAGGACCACAGAGGGCGCCTCAAGCGGGCGGGGCGAGTGCCACTCACCTCCCAGCCCCGCCCCCCCCGACTGACGGCCTTTAAAGAGCGGAGGGAGCTGGGGTCCGGGGAAACGAGCGTCTGGGTGCAGCAGCGGTGGAGCGCACTACCATGTCCCTGCAGGTGAGCCGGAGGGTGGGCAGGCCGCGCGGGGGGACAGCTCCCCAGAGGGCAGTGTTCAGGGGACGTGGGGCGCCGCAGCTGCCCTCTAGGGTCACGTACCTCCAGCGCTGTAATGTAGCCTCACCCGAGAGCGGTCCGTGCTGATCCCGAGGACGCCCCCACCCCTTCGCCAGCGCCCCCTTACTGCAGTGGAGACCACGCCGGCGCCGTTCTTTTGACGGCGAGCCGGGGCTCCCTATGGCAACTCCTGTGAACCCCAGGGACTGGTTAAACGCTAAGTAGGCACCGGCCCCAGGGAGCTGGTCGCGGGGTGGATCGGGGAGGACTGCGTGGCCCTGCCCTGACTCCTTCTTGGAGGTGGAGGCGAGGACGTTTGGGGTCTCACTCGGGCCCCTTTGCTTTTAGTACAAACAAGGGCTCTCTTGGGCAAGGGCAAATATCTGTAAAACTCAATTTAAAAATACCATTTTTCTGATATGTGAAAAATATATATACTCAGGGTGAAAAGTTTTGGGAAAGAGAACAGATATAAAGTAATTAAAAAACGATCAGCCCTAGCCTGTTTGGCTCAGTGGATAGAGCATCGGCCTGCGGACTAAAGGGTCCCAGTTTCGATTCTGGTCAAGGGCATGTACCTTGGTTGCGGGCACATCCCCAATAGGGCGTGTGCAGGAGGCAGCTGATCGATGTTTCTCTCTCATTGATGTTTCTAACTCTCTATCCCTCTCCCCTCCTCTCTGTAAAAAATCAATGAAATATATTTTTTAAAAAAAACAAACAAACAAAACGATCAGAAATTCCTCACCCAGGTGATCACTGCTGACTTAATAGGTTACTTATACATGTATGCCAAAAATATGTATGTGTGCACCCAGGCATGGCCATGTGTATGTACCTATGTGCAAATATGTGGGTATATATAGACACTGATTATGCTATTATGTATATACATTTGTTCCTTTATGTAACACTATGTTACCAGCATTTTCTCATCTATACTAATAAAAGGGTAATATGCTAATTAGGGTGACATTCTCCAGACGTCCATCCAGACAAAGCCTCGCAGCTATGGCGGCCAGCAGTGGCAGCAGCAGTAGGCTAATGGGGGTGGCACCTTCCCCTGATCAGCCCAATTGTCTCCCGCAGAGGGACTCCCCAGTAGGACATCCCCTGAGGGCTCCCAGACTGTGAGAAGAGGCAGGCTGGGCTGACAGACCTCCCCCCCGCCACCCCAGCCCCTGCCACAGTGCACAAATTTTTGTGCACCATGCCTCTAGTTATTAAATATTTTTCTAAAATATAATTTAAAAATATCTGCTTACAATTTCTTGGAACGAGCATGGTTCACTTCATTAACGATTCTTTAAGGAATATGTTATGGTGGGCAAAGGCACATCCTCCAGAGCCAGCCCATTTCAAATCTAAACCTCTCGCCTTCTTAGCCTGTGACATACTTAACCCCTCTATGCCTCAGTTTCCTCGTCTAAAAATGGAAGAGAGGGATTGTTAAGGCTAAATTTGCTGCATGTATAGAGCATTTAAAAATGCCTGGCATGTGCTAGTGTCCAATAAGGATAAGCATGTCCTTGAACCTTTAGATATTTTTCTCTTATATGTGACATAATTCATATCGAACCTTCCCCCAAATAATCAAATCTTTCAGTGTCAAAACTTTCTTCCTTTTTAGCTTAGTACTTTGCTTAGTTTTGTTTGGCAAAACACACGGTATTACTGATTCAGATATAACCTCAAATTTGTATTTTAGAATTACAATATGTTTACTTCTGCAGCAAAGTTTTTAGGCAAGCTGACAGTGGTGTAAACTTGGACATATTTCTTTCTTAGATGATGAAAATAAAAGGCAGACTGCTTCTTCAAGAAAACACATCTTTTTGAGCTAGGAAATTCATTATTTTACAATTGGCACATGTCTAACCCCTTTCGCACACACCTTTGTGCAATTTGATCTTCCCAATTCAGTTTCTCAGCGGGGACGGATTGCTCACAAAGGCATCATTAACACCATATGCAGTGACCATGTTCTTTGGCTGCAGGAAGTAAAGTTAGAGTAGGCGAGAGTCACCCTCGGGGGCTGTCTTCAGGAGCTTTCCACAGAGGCCAGGGTGGTCAGTGCTCCTAGGCAGTAAAAGACTGTGTCCATCTCCAGGAAGGCAGGATGCACCCACTGTGAGAGACAGGAGGGACACTGGGCTCACTGCTACCACCGGGGGTGTGGCCAGGGGTCCTTGTGGTGAACACATGAGCAGGAAAGGGTCTGGGGAGAGGCCTGAATGCAGTTGTTTCAAAGACTCTCCACCACAGTTGCCAGGGAATGAGGCACATGTGCATTCATCCAGGATGTTAAGAACTGGGCTCATCTAGGACAGCCAGCTCTGATGAGGCAGAAATTCTTCACTGACAGCAGTGAGCCCAGCTCCACAGAAGCACAGGAATATTACTAAACGTTCCCCTTTGCCCAGAGTACTTTAGAATTCAATGTAAACAGCTGTACATTTAAAGCTGCTTCTCACCTAGCTTTCAGATCCCCCTCATATCCACTCACATAGTCATTTACTCAATAAGGAGCGCACACAGGCTGTACCACTTGCCAGCACTCTGCAAGGCGTGGCTCTTGCTACCAAGATGAATATTTATGTCTGCCCTCTATTGTGGATCTATGAGGGAACAAGCATATATAGTCCCACCCAGACTTTATGTTGAGCCCTGATAATTGCTGTCCATGCTGCCTGCAACCCCTCCCCGTTCCAGACCATCCCACAAGCGCTGACCTCCAGCTCAGCTCAGCTCTATCTCCTCTGGGAAGGATTCTCCTGCCCCTACTGCTGTTCCCTCCTCTTTGTTCCCAGAGCACCCAAATATCACATGATCATTACTGACCTGCTCATCTCCCAGGGGTCCCTGAGCTCCTTGAGAACTGGCTGCCCTGTTCATCCTGGCTGCCTAGCCAGTATGTGTGTTAAATAGTATGTTTCAGGTGATGAGCTCTGGCAGGCAGAATCAACAGAATAAAATAAAAATATTTACATTCTTAATTGTATTTAACCCTAACACCTCCCTGCTTTAGATTGATAGGATCTTTTTTTCAGCAAAAGCCGAGTCTCAGAGGAGCCTAGGTGCTTGTGCAGAATCCCATAGCAGCGTGTCTCTCACAGTGTTCCTTGCACTAGGGTTCATCATGGCTGGATGGGAAAGTCCTCAGAGAGAAGGGCACCTGGGAGCCACACCGTAGAGCAGGACTATACCAAGTCAGGGTGCCAGGGAAGGGCGTGCTGGAAAGAGAAGGATCCTGGGCCCTGGAATGGGTTTCTCTACCTGGGGAGGGAGGAGAGACAAGGACCCCTGACACTGCCTGTGAAACTGTGTCAGGGGCTGAACTCCTCTGTGGAGAGGGTCTGAGATATTCATTAGCCTGTCCATAATATGAAGAACAATTTTTCAGAAACTTCTTCCTAGAAGGCAGGTACCGAGCCTTAGAATTCTAATCAAGGTTTGGCTTGCCAAAAGCAATTGAGTTGCTGTTACTGGAAAAGGGCATGAAACTTCACAACAGGACACCGGAGACTCCTGGCAAACCGAAGGGGACGAACCCCACGCCTCTCTGAATAGCCCTGCCCTGTCTTGCCCTAACGAAGCCCCACCATTATTGTAGCGTTGTTCTGTTGTCCTAATTACAGACACAATACATGCACATTATAGAAGATTTGGAGAGTATAGAAAGTATTAAAACAACCAGAAAACTTACCAGTAATCAAAGGTAATTTTTACATATTTTATTATATTTCTTTCTAGTCTTTATTTTTTCCATATTACTTACAAAGCTGAGTGTATGAAAACAATTTTGTATTCTTTGTTAAATTATTTCTTAAAAGTATTTTTCATGTCTTGCTTCATTGTAAATACTTTTTTCATTTTTTTTCTAGGACTAGTTTATTTTTCCTCAAAGAGTCTTGTAATAAAAATAATAGTCAAACTTTACTGACCACTCACTATGTGCCAGGTACTATTTTGAATATTTTACATGTGTTAACTTATTTAAATCTGCCTAACAACCTTGTAGATAGGTGGTGTTATTGGCCCATATTCCAGATGCAGAAACAGAGGGGTTAAGTAACTTGCCCAAGGTCACACAGCTCTGAAGTGGTGAAGCTTAGATTCAAACCACTCAAGTCCAGCTCAAGTCTGTGTTCTTAACCATGATGTTATGTATAATGGAACTGACAGTTTCCTAGAAATATTCAGGAAAATGAGGCAGGGGTTTGTCCCTTGTCACATGGACCCATGGTTCTCAGATTCCTGGAATAATTGGGGTCATTTTCAAGGTTATTTAGGTTGGAGACTCTGGTTTCCCATTTGCAAGGGATTTTTGTTCATTACAAAACAACTATTCAGTTGTGCTACTGTCCTGTCTTTGGTGCTGGATAGAAATTTTATCTAGCAGCTCTGCTGAGATCACTGGGGTTCTGAAATTACAGTGGGGCTATCTTCTTTCTCTGCCACGCATTTGGTTCTTTGGGTTTGGAGAAAGAAAATGCAGGGTGGGGATAGAATGCCTCACTGAGACTGTCGTGTTTGATACTCGACAATTACCTTTATCCCAGGTTTAAAACAAATAACATTAGGTAAAATATAGTCTATTAAAAAATAGAATGGGAAACTTCCAGTAAAGATGATGGCTTAGCCCAGCCAGCGTGGCTCAGTGGTTGAGCATTGAGCTACGAACCAGGAGGTCACGGTTCGATTCCCGGTCGGGGCACATGACTGGGTTGCGGGCTCGATCCCCAGTAGGGAGCATGCAGGAGGCAGCCAATCAATGATTCTCTCTCATCATTGATGTTTCTATCTTTTTCTCCCTGTCCTTGCCTCTCTGAAATAAATTAAAAAAAAAAAAAAAAGATGGTGGCTTAGGTAAACACTTGCCTCCTTCCACAGCCACATCAGAATTAAAACTAAACTACACAACAATCATTATTCAGAACTGC